TCAGTTTGACGCAAGACGCAAAACTGTTTGTTTATATGCCATATGCTAAAAAGCTCTTGCTAAAAAAATGTTTCATTCACGTTCATCTCTGGTGGGGCTCTGGCAAAACTTTCAGTGAATCATGCCTCTCTAAACTCTTTTATGGTTAAGATTTCAAGTTGTTACCATTTACAATCTTGTGTCATCCATCATTTGTGAGTGAATCACTTCCACTTTCTAGCTTTCCTGTCTCGTAACTAGTTTATTCAATAAGGTAAAGTGACTCCAGACATCCTGAACTGCGTAAATGATGTATTCATTTGATTTCTGTTATCAGTAACACGCGCTGATTTGTAATTTTCATTTTTTTTTACATATCATAGATGTAGATATGTAGAATTTGTAGAATATTTTAACATTTTTACATTATTATTATTGTTATTGTTATTATCATTATGCGTGTTTGGTAATTGGTAAGCTACGTGTAACGAGGCTCGTTAGTGTACCTTGTGCAAGGGAAAGCAGACGTGTGACAGCGCAAACACAGTCTCTTTCCCTCCCTCTGTTCTCGGTACCAGTTGTTTTCAACAAGCTTGTGCAGTCACAGCGTGCACAGCTGCTCTCTCCCCGTTTGCGATTTACAAGCGGATTCTTCCCTCTGTCTCAGTATTTTAAGAGTGGGGAATTTTGCATTCCCTCGTAAGACCAATTATGCCACACAATTCATAAACTTTTAAAATCGGAGTTGCTGTTTGGATGTACGCCATGCGCCTGCAACCTGCGCGGGCTGGCTGGGACTTTTCTGATCGGATGCTGTGCTGAGAAATGCAGTAGGCGCCGTTCTTCCCATGGCTTATTATCCTTTCCAAATTCGCGGACCCGGTGCCTTGCCCTTATCAGCCTTCCTTACCAGCGCACAGCCTTCTTTTCCTGCCGCGCCGACTTTTCCGGACGTCGCGTCCTTCTCCAAATCTCTGTCAGAGCAGGCACCCCCTGACGCAGGGCTGCACACAGGTCTGGGGTGCCAAAATGAGGCCGTTCAGCAACGTTCCTTGAAGAGACTTGAGCCAGAAGAATGGTTGGACGAGGACCCGAAAGTTACGCTGGAATCAAAGAACTTGTGGAGTGAATTTCACAAAATAGGAACTGAAATGGTTATCACAAAATCAGGAAGGCAAGTGCAATGCGCATTTAAGTAGTCTACTGAGAATTTTGTGTAGTGTCTTTGTCGTTTCAAATGTAGCTTTATTGTAAATAGCCTGCAAAAGCGCGCATAAATGCTATGTTCACGCTTTAACGGGGAAAAACAGCGAATAATCTAGTTTTGCTGATGATCGGAAGTTTAAAAAATGTCACAAGGGGGGACCTCCATAGACAAATAAAAGCTCTATGAGAAAAAAGAGACGAAAAAACAAAAATAACACTGTTAATTATTACATATACAACAATTTCTTTTTTTCTTCATTAACTATCAGGAGGATGTTTCCCTCTTTCAAAGTGCAAGTAGAAGGGCTGAATGAAACAGCCAAGTACATCTTGCTGATGGACATTGTCGCTGTCGACGACTGTCGCTACAAGTTTCACAACTCCCGCTGGATGGTGGCTGGAAAAGCTGACCCAGAGATGCCAAAGCGCATGTACATCCACCCGGACAGTCCGTCTAAAGGAGAACAATGGATGAGCAAGCCCGTTGCCTTTCATAAACTCAAACTCACCAATAACATGTCCGATAAACATGGGTTTGTAAGTAACACTCACTGAAAAGTTGCTTTTGTTCCTCATTACGCATGGTTATGCTGGGTGACTGGGTGCACTGCTTTAAAGCTTTTATTATGGTTGTAGTTGTAGTAATTAATTACCCAAATACCAGTAATTCCAACTCTATTTTTCTAATTTGCAGACAATTTTGAATTCCATGCACAAGTACCAACCCAGATTTCATATTGTGAAGGCGAATGACATAATGAAGCTTCCTTATAGCACCTTCCGGACTTATGTTTTCCCAGAGACAGAGTTCATCGCTGTTACTGCTTATCAAAATGAAAAGGTAACATCATCCTTTAGCCCCTCATACACAAATGACAAATATCCACATGGATTATACAGTGTGTACTACTGTTGTGCCTGTTTGTCACTGCACAATGAACTTTGGATTGATTAATCTGCAGACCTTTCCTTCTTTTCCATCAAGATTACACAACTAAAAATTGACAACAATCCCTTTGCCAAAGGATTCAGAGATACAGGAAATGGGAGACGTGAAAAGAGGTATACATTTTGAAAACAGAATACATCTTTAGGCCATATGCGCATGGTCTCATGCAATCTCGATTTGTGATCCCCAGAAATAAACAGTTAAACATTTCTTCACTGAATGGAAACCAAAGCAAAGCAGACCAGGACTTTGCTGATTCTGATGATTCCTATGAGCAGCCCAGTACCAGTGAGCCTTTTTATTCCCCACAACTAACGAGCAGCCCTCTGATGTCCACATCAACTTGTCAAGGTGGGTTCATTTAGAGTTCATTATGTTATTAGGCAGCCACTGTTGACCTGTGTTCATGAAGTGATAATCTAACTTAAGATCTACTGCATAGTCACTACACTGAAACAGCTTGCATATATTTTTCTTTTGTTTTTAGTACGTGTTTCCTTTTAATGACATATTCTCAAGCCAATAATTGCTGTTTGTAGTTTGGGGATCTGCTTTTGTTTTTACTTTAAAAAAAAAAAAAAATTTGATGCAAAATTAACAAAGCATTTTAAACTGTGTTTCAAAAGCACATGGGCTAATAATATGATGGCTCATTCAATTTGACTGCAAAGTATTCCATGACACAGTGTCTGACAGTGTTTTCTTCACGGTTCAAAATGTTTGAAGTGTTTGTTTTTTTTCTCACAGACGAGATCAACGTTGTCAGTGATTCAGACGTTGATCCACTAGATGACTGCAACGCTGAAGGCAGCTGCTCCAGGAGAGAGCACACATTGGGTTTAAGTCTGAGAAGTGAAGAGATACTGTGGAACAAGTGTGGTCTCAGAAAGAACAAACAGGATGCAACAAAAGCAAGAACATCAAGCAGCGCTTCACGTGATAGACATTCTATAGGTACGGGTCTAGAAGAGCAAATGAGTGAAATCAAAGATGGGGTCGTGCCTATGATGTTACAGTCATGGAGCGCATCATCCATCAGTGCTGGTCAGCAACCCACTTTGGATTTCTCAAGTGCACACAGCCATTTCTCTAGTAGGCGTGGGACACCTTTGTCATTTCAATCTGGACAGCTATCAATGAAGCCAGAGGTTTTTTCCAATATGGGTATGGAGAATATGTTTCCCACTTCACCTGGTATAAATGGATTAAGACATGGAAGCCTGTTTTCTGAAAGCATCACCTCTTCAGCTCCATTCAAACGTCAACTGTCACAGCAAATGCTAGCATCTCAGGTACGCTTCCCCAGGTTCACTATATTAAGTTATTGAATATATTTTCATCCATTCATTTAATTGTAAGTGCTGTATACAGCAGTAACAGTTACTTAACCTCAGTAGCATCTTTAAAGTCTTTGAGCACTAACAAAGGACTTCACACTGGGCAGCTGCAGAATTTTTACAGTTAAAGAAACTCTCAGCGAGTAAAGCTGAAATAAGTTATATGTTTCGTGCCAATATGTTTCATCGCAAGCTCTGTTTGTAATTTGGAGAACATACTTTTAGATCTTACTTTATGTTTCGTCCTACTGTTTGTGCAATCCTACAAGCCTTCATGCTATAATTTAAAAAAAAAAACCCCAAAGGTTCTTTGTAAACCGATTTTCCACTAAAAAACAGAAAAACCTTTGATCACTACTTGGTGTATTATGTGTTGAAACAAAATATAAAAACATTAAATGAATATATACAATATGAAAAACAATGAATGTCTAGTTTTTCATTAAACAACCACTGAATAAAGTAAAACAATAGTTGGAATGTATTACTTGAGTAGTGGTACTTCATTATAAGCCTTTGTGAATTCTTTATGAATGGCTTAGAGATCTTTATAGTGTGCAGGTCATTTTCAGTGTAAAGTAAAGCATAGGTGTCAATCCTCTTGTTGTTTAATGGGACTGGATTGATTACCCTTACTGACTTCCTTTCCTAATGCCTTGGATTTCCTCCATAATATGAGTTAAAGACAAAACTTATCTGATGTATTCAGTTGCTGGTTAATAATGTTTAATTTTACAGAGCTGTTTATATAAAGGAAGATGACAAGATCTGTACTACAAATCTTAACAACTCTACTTTTTATTGCAGGGGATTTCACCATCACCCTATGGAGGACTTTTCTCATATCCATACCGCTACATGGCAGCACCAGGTTCAGTCACACCAGCCCTTTCATTCTGCACTGCAACCTCGTCGCACTCCAGAAACCAACGTTACAGCAACTCTCGACCATGGGTGCGATTCAGCCCTTATCAGATTCCCACATCGATCACCTCAAGCCAAAATCTGCTAACATCCAGACTGCCTGGTAGATCACAATCTGAGCGAGAGTCAACTCTGGTGTTTGACAATAACAGCTATCTAGTCATAAGACCTAATAAACCAAATCCTCCATAATAGACTATTTTACAAGTGAAGTCACATATGATAATCATTTAAAATGTTTTGGCAGAAAGTCTATATCATCGCTTCTCTTTAAATTGATCATATTATCATAAACTTAATAAAGACAGACTTGGTGGTCCAATGACAGCCAGTATATTATACTAGCCTTGGATATGCATGTTTAATTTAATAATTAAAATAAATATTGTGCTAGATTCTACTAAAAGCTACTCAATGGAATTCCCAGAACATGTGCTATGCAAAAGTCGGTGCCCGGGGTGAAATTCTTTAGAGGATGATATGATGTAATGTGCTTTAAACATAAATAAAAACACATTTTTACTGCTTTATTCTATGTAAATGTGTAAATAGTTTTTCTCTTGCATTTTTTTTCACAAGAAAGTGACTAAATGAAGCCTTTTTTCAGAATGTTTTATATTTGTTTCACACTTTCACATTCTGATATACCAAAAATGTGCAGTGAGCTTGAAAAAACTCAGGACCTTTTGTTTATCTTCTTTTAAACCAGCACTTAAGAAATCTCCGGGAGATTTCTCTGGGATGTTGTGTATGAAATTATGCAAGTATATTGTGTGTTGTGTGTGTGTTTTCACAATTTACATAAAGATGTTGTTCTAATCTGTAATATTTGACTGAATTATTTAACGTTAATTTTGCTTATTTTCTTTGTTTTTGGGCGGGGTCATCTTTTGGTGAGTCATTGTGCATTGCAACCCTACATTTCGTAAAAATAAACCAACAACAAACAACAACAAAGAAAAAAACAAACTTTTGGATGTGGTGCTGTCTATCACTGTATGCCAGGATATTTAATATTGATTTAAGAAGGGATTTTTCCCTTATTTTTTTCTCTAATGGTGATCAGTTTTATTTATGTAGTTACTTTATTTTTTAAAAAAAGCTTTACATTTTATTTCTGTACTTCTATTTTCTATTTCAGAAAAGGTCAGCCTATGTGGCTGCTCCTTATGACCCATCCTTCTTTGTACTTATTTCTAGGCAACTGTGGCGTTGGTTGCCCTTTAGACCTTATAGAACATTTTTGTCATCTTCTATTTTAAGTCACAGTCAAATGCATTAGAAGAAAAGGGGAGCTCTTGAACTTATGGTCTTAATTCTAAACAAATTCTTGTGGCAACACATCTTTGCACTTTTGTTCCCCTCATCCAACACCCACACCCTTCCAGGAACAAACACTGGCAAGACAAGAGACCGATTTTAAATTGGACCGTTAGCTGCAGTGCCCTCATTTTACTGCCTGCATATTTTACATCTGTCCGCACACAGCATTACAATAGTCATAAAGCATTTGCAAATTTATAATGGATAAAGGATAAAGGTCTATGGCATATGTTAGCTCAACCGTGTGAAAAAAAAATTAGCTGGACAGTGACACTATTTGTAAAGTGACAGTGGTTCACATAAAGTTGAACCACTGTCACTTGGTGACAGTAAAGTTGGCGTTTAATGACAGGGACAAATTTGAAGACACTAAATCATACTGAGAGAGTGTAAAAAAGGTCATATCAGTGTAGGACACACCTATTTGCATGTATACAAACAAATGTAGATAGCTGACTGTGTATTCAAACAAGATGATTCACACTGTTTTTACTCTGAGGTTTGCTGGGGCACACTGACAAATGGCAAAATAAATGTTGTCACTAGTTGTGTTGAGACTTAAAAAAGGAATACTTAAGACTTCTTAATACATTTGTGTGTTAATGAATGTTTAGAGCTTCTTTTTCTTCTGCAAACCTAAGTTATTAAAGCATAGAAAGAAAAAAGAAAGTTTTTTTAAAAATCCTAAATCTCTTTTGTGATTGCGATAGTGTCAATATTTAGTCCTGTCACTTGCATGTTTAATATTACACTAATTAATTCTACTAATACTTAAAAGAATAATTTTGGTTATGTTAAAATAGACCAGCAGTGCACTGAAATATCAAGTTTCTGGAGGCATGTGCTAACCTACTCTGAACACTGGGAGGGGAGCATCTATTTCACACTTTACAGTGTGCAGAATATTAGCTAAAAGACTGTTAACTTACAAATACTTCAGTTTTTCAACATCACTGTGTCAAGAGAAGGCAATGCAGGCTCTATGATTGGATTTTTAAATCAATCCTTATCATCACTATGAGCTAAGATAAAAATGTTAACACAGATGGCTTAAATAGATGAGATCGCCTTGATGCAGTCATTCACTTAACATGGAAACAATTTAAAAGCTTTTGTTAATGTAAATTAAGCTTTTGGCATGTATCTTTATGTTAAAGTCAAGAAATAGAAAGGCAAACGTTGCTTCTGCTGAAATCCCATAAATTCAGAACCACTGTGAGTGGTGAATGGTGGCTGCACATTAAGGCCTCTGAAGCCACCTAGTGGATCTAAGGTGCAATAATAATATATTTACACCTTTGACGTAAACTGGTAATCGAGGTTATTTCACTAAGGTTAACTGTCATAGTTTATCACAGGTATCCTGTTTTATTTTAACAACTGGGTTAAAGTGGTGTAGACTCTAACTAAAAGATGTACATTTAATGAACCAAATCATGTTTTGAATGAGCTGGTATTTAATTCAACAATGGTATATTCTAATTTGATTTCATTCTCTTTCAGTCTTTTAAGGCTTAGTTTTAGGACTCTTAACCTGACGACCTGCATTTACACTTTTATATCATCAGAAACCTCAGCAAGCTGTTACTGTCTACACATGAATAGACAAAGTTTTAAGCGTTTTTACGTGGCTATCCACCTGTCCTACACGCACAAGAGTACGGTAAAAAATGTAAAAAAAAAAATCAATGTTTAATTCGTCACATTAAGTATGAACATTACTTTGAATAATTGTCTTTGTAAAACAGTTTCACAGAGAGAATATTTGAATTCAAGTCTCTTTATTTAAATACGATCAATCCTAATTGCTTCTCGTTTGTGATTAGAAGTGGGATTTCGCCGGAACCAGTTTGAATGCAGACAGGCCAGTTTCTCAGCTTTCAAACGACACAGCTAACGTGAGCCAAACGGGATATGAAATAACTCTTCCGTTGACTACATCGTCTGCAGTCTATACACTCCACTTGCCTGCACTGAAGTGATGAATAAACATCTTTAATATACTGCACACTGGACGCGTTTTTTTCTTAATTTTTGACATTCCCAGTTTGCATACGTAGTCCTCAAACTACCGGTCGTGAAAGAAGTGTACAACAGACTTGTTAAATGTAGTCTGATCTTAGCGGGCTCACAGCATGTTTCAGCTGCACGCAGTCTACTCAACAACGACGAAGACCTGCAACCGCGAAACTGTGTGTTCATCACAGATTCAGCACACCGAAAGTTCAGTTCTGCTACATATATGTAGCTGTGTACATTGACAGCACATGCTCAAGCACCACCTCTTCCGGGTGTCTCCCGGCCCTCTACTGCCTTAAACACGCCCACACAGATTAACTGCAATTTGATTGGAGCTTTGCGAGCGAAATCAGCATAGATCTAGCTGAACTAGACAGAAAGGATTCAGCGCTAACGTGTCGTTTACTGATATTTGATTAGTAAGACCTTATTATATTGACTGGATAGAAGAAAAAACAAAACATAAGCAAAAAAACATTTTTTCTTTTCTTTTTTTTCTTTCTGTTTTTGGAATGTTCATATATATTTTTAATCATAAGAATTCAGTAGATATATTATCGAGCACCTTGGATGGATGTTACAAAAACACTAGCGTTTCGTTTGATTTCAGCTGGTGTAGCAGCTGTGGTTATCTTGACTCCACCGTTTTCTTTCTTTTTTAAATTTACAGTTAATTACAAGTTGTACATAACGTCTAACATACAATATCTTTTCTGTTTTTTACGTCATTCCCTTATAAGCGGAAGAATAGATAGACAGCCTGAACACCTAATGCTGAAGTCGTTAATATACCGGCTTGGGTGTGATGTCTTTACTATCTAAACTAGTTCTATAGCGGAAGCTGCTGTCAGAGGTCAATGCCCAGGAATAACCTGCCTGCGCATCGTCACATCACCCCACTCTCTGCTGTTTAAGCATCTGATGGTGATGTGTGACCTCATCATGATGTGATGTTTTCATCATCACTCGAAAGAGAGATGTCTGGCAGATACAATTAATTTATCGATCTTTTTAATTCAACTTTTTTTCAGGATTACGTGTCAGTTTATCTCCACCGGTGAGTCGCTAGCATACCTGCAAGTGTTTATCACTTATTACTTCGCGTCTGCACCCAGATTTTCACCCACACTGCAGTACAGTACACCGGTAGCCAGTACAGTACAGTCCGTGCTACTGTAATAGTGCCGTTACTGTGGAATTATAATTGTATTAGCGCCTGCCGGTAAGCTAGCGTTATTAGCACCTGCGCCTCAGCTTATCTGGGGTTGCTGGGTAAAGAAGCTAGCCTTCACCGGACAGGTAACCTTAACTAGTCGACTCAGCCTTAGTTCTTGTTTTCCCCCCCTATCTTTCTTTTTCTAGAAGGCGGTTCCAGAGCTAAAATTATGTCATTAAATAACGTTCATTGCGGAAAACAGAAATATGGATCTATTAACAAGCTAAACACAGCTATCCTATCGTGATGTTCTCCTGGCTCACTTTTACAGCGTGCCTGTTTGCGGTGCTCGGCTTGTTTTTCTGGTCCCGCAAGCGCCTGCCGAGAGGTAAGGTGTGCCTTACCCGAGAGTCTACTCTTTCCATTTGCTCTGACAGGTGGTTTTTTTAACAGTTGTAGCAACTGGACAGGTAGGGCGACAGCAACATATCAGTTAAATAACGTCTTATCGTTTCCGCACGTGGCTGTTAATTAACGTTTTTTCGAGCCTTCATGGTAAATTAACAAGGGGGAGAAGAAAGGGAATGTCAGTATTACTGTAGCAGATGCTAGGGTTTTGAGGAAAAACAGGAGTTTTAATCAAGCAATTGTCTTAATTGTTTTGCTTTTGTCCACTCTTTTAAATAGCAGATTAAAAGTGTACACAGGACAACTGATGATTACAGTGCAACTCTGGCAAATAGCAAATTTGATTATATGGCTGTTTGCCTAAATAATGCTTCATTGGTTCTGTCTATATGATTGCTGGTGACAATACAGCAATCATTGCATTCAGGTGTTATTGTTTAATATTTTGTTATTAATATTTTATTCTAAGCAACTGTTTTGGCAGATCATAAAGTGGAATTTTCTTTCCAGAGTGTGCACAAAAATGATGCAATATCAATTGCACTATCAAGAAACTTAAGTTCATGTAACCCACTTTTGCAATAATGACAAACAGCCTTGTGTTCCAGCCAAAGCAATCTGTGTCACACTGTACTCTGTGGCTCCTTTATAACTGTTGCAACCACTGCTCCGCTTCTTGTCAGTGTTTGGAGCCTGCTCCTGTCGCCCGACCATGGCACAACAGGACGGTGCTGCCAAGAAGATTCCGGCTGTTGCAGAATTGCACTCTCGCTTCATTGTGGGATCTGTGTCAGAGGAGAACTCAGAGGATGAAAACCAAGGAAAGGTGGACATGCAGCTGGACGAGAAGGAGACTCGCTCCTTGTCTCCATCTTCCGGGAGTTCGGACAGCACCTATGAAATGGGCTTCGACCACATCGATGGTCCCATGCACAATTTAAGGTTAGCCTCTAAATCTTCTTTGTGTGTCTGGCTTCTAAATGGTAATGCAACAGAAATATACATTTTATTCAAACATTTGTAAATGTCCTTCTAATAGCAATATATATCAAATGAGTGATAGGGATAGGGATCCTGCAACTTTCTGTGCTGTCTTTGTGAAACTAGCCAACATCTGTAGTCTAAAATAACACGCAGCATGCTCTGCTCAGATTATGTAGTTTTCCTTGGCTTCATAACCCTTTGAGCAACTTGTGAAAAATGCGGTTTCTCTAGTTGCACTCTACCTAAAGGTTCCTCTGTGCCCTCACTGTGTGAGATTGTCCTGGAGAGCAGTCATCTTGACTGCAGAATGTTTTATATACGTTTTTAAATAGAAGTTAAAAAAAATCTTCAAAAACCAGTGCGTGTGTGTTTTTATGTGTATTTGACCTCTAAGTATAATTACTTGCAAAAACACTTGGGACATTAATTATTATCATTTCTTGCATGCTGACTTTCTTTGTGCCATAATCAGCAAGTTTACCTTTATTTGTGGCTGGTATTGATGTGATCAGTTTCAATAAGGGTAAACCGAAAGACACTGGGAGACACTACCGTTGTCAGAACTGGAAATACTGGATGAACGGGGGTTATGCACCCCCCACCCACACACACAATCGCTTCCACATCTGGACAGAGTTGTTCCACGTCAAGATCTTTACAGTGATGCAACCATCCAGTGTCATGTCATATAGAAGCCAGCCAGCTAAACGGGCCCAGGCTCTGCCACACCCTGTCACGTTCCTCCACCCATAGTACCCAACTGTCCCAACTCTTCCTCTATGGGTGGAGCTTTGATTTACAGGGCTCTGCAGTTTCTGTTGGAAGCACTTGCCCCAACATGTAAATGTGTTTGAACAAGAAATTCTACTCTTTTTAACAATTTCTTCCATTATTTTGTTTCTAGGTTGTTGGGGGTTTTTTTGTTTTTGGGTTTTTTTTCCTACTGTTGTCATAGATTTTTATTTATGGTTAGACATTCTGACCATTTCACCAACTTATCCAGAAGCTGTATAACCAAAGGGACATTATATTTATATTCTTTGTTGTTTTTTTTTTTTGTTTTTTTGTTTTTTAAATTAAAACAGATCAAGCATGTCAGGCCTGCACCTGGTGAAACAAGGACGAGATCGCAGGCGTATTGACCTCCAGAGGGACTTCACTGTTGCTTCTCCTGCTGAATTTGTCACACGCTTTGGTGGTAACAGGGTCATTGAAAAGGTAAGAAATTCTGATTAAAAAAAAAAAAAAAAAATTTCAAAAACCCCCCAACTTGTTATATAGGGACAATAATTTCAATCTCATTTATAAACTCTGCAATAATAACGAAAAACATGAAAAGATTCAAGTTCAAATTGTGATATTATGTCAGTCAAATGATTCACTGTATGTGCATTTCATAACTTTGCTGCTATATCGTGATTAGACTGTGTTAACAATAGTAACTGATCTCCTTTTTCAGGTGCTCATTGCAAACAATGGCATTGCAGCAGTGAAATGCATGCGCTCCATCCGCCGCTGGGCCTATGAAATGTTTCGCAATGAAAGGGCAATCCGTTTTGTCGTCATGGTGACCCCAGAAGACCTGAAGGCCAATGCAGGTGAGCTAAAGTTTGGTTTCCCCAAACAGTAGACTCATTGTATGTGGTACCACCTTCAGCATATTTTGAGGCTTTTGAGACAAGTATATTGACTTCATGATTTCTACATACATTTCGACATGATTTCCCTAGGGATTAATAAAGTATGTTGATTCTGATGATTCTAAAATGTGTGATTTTATTTCACACATTTTAGTTACATTTTAACTATCTCATAGCTAATATGACTGGCCTTTTTTGGTATTATTGACAGGACTGAGAATAATTGTTCATGTTTTGTCATCTTTTTTGTGCTTACAGAGTACATCAAGATGGCAGATCATTATGTGCCTGTACCTGGGGGGACTAATAACAACAACTATGCCAATGTTGAGCTCATTCTAGACATTGCTAAACGCATACCAGTTCAGGTATCACCAGAATATTTTTTTAATAGTTTCTTCTGTAATTACCTTTCTTTCTTTTCTTTTTTTTTTTTTTCTTTATCATCTGGTGTTGTATTGTTTTATGTATTATAGGCAGTGTGGGCTGGATGGGGGCATGCCTCAGAAAACCCCAAACTCCCAGAGCTCCTTCAAAAGCATGGCATTGCTTTCATGGGTGAGGAGTGAGGGTCACTTTGTTGACCATCACCTGTTCTTCATTTGCCAGAGTAACGTAAGTGTAAAGTGTTAAAATTCTTCTCTCTTTTCTTAGGTCCACCAAGTCAGGCTATGTGGGCGCTTGGAGATAAGATTGCTTCCTCCATCGTGGCTCAGACAGCTGGAATTCCAACACTGCCCTGGAGCGGAACAGGTAGGTCATAGATTCTGGTGTCTGAATATTGTAGCTGGTCAACATTCCTAACATTTCAGATGAAATAAAATATTAACAATGCACAGTGACACTGACAAGTTTCTATGCTGAGTACATTTTGGGATCTTCTTTTTCAGGTCTGACAGTGGACTGGCCAGAGAATAACCAAAAGAAGAAGGTTGTCAACGTTCCTCTCGACTTGTATGAGCTCGGCTGCGTCCAGGATGTAGAGCATGGCATGAAAGTAAGCAATTCACCTAATAGTGTATAATGGAAAATGAGTGTTGCATGCACTCTTTCTAACATCTCTTTCTATCACAAGGCTGCAGAGAAAATTGGCTACCCTATAATGGTGAAGGCCTCTGAAGGTGGTGGAGGAAAAGGGATCCGTAAAGTCAACTCTGCTGATGACTTCCCTAACCTGTTCAGACAGGTAAGTGAACATGTACAGCATTTCCTGCTTTTTGGTACGGTGGTATTTTAGGTATTCTACGATTTCAAGAATATATTTGATCTTTTCTAGGTCCAGGCAGAAGTCCCAGGATCGCCCATTTTTGTCATGCAGCTGGCCAAGCATGCCCGTCACTTGGAGGTTCAGATTTTGGCTGATCAGTATGGCAATGCCATTTCCCTGTTTGGCAGAGACTGTTCTGTGCAGCGACGACACCAGAAAATTATAGAAGAGGCTCCTGCTACCATCGCCACTTCTGATGTGTTTGAGGATATGGAAAGGGTATTCCCCCTCTAGCATCACCTGCACTCATAAATGGAAATCGGTACCAACAAATTTCAAGCTTGAATTAACCTGAATTGTTCTCGCCACTCAGTGTGCAGTGAAGCTGGCTAAGATGGTGGGTTATGTAAGTGCTGGTACAGTTGAGTACCTCTACAGCCAGGATGGCAGCTTCTATTTCCTGGAGCTCAACCCTCGTCTACAGGTGGAACACCCGTGCACTGAGATGGTGGCTGATGTCAACTTGCCTGCTGCCCAGCTGCAGGTTGGTCTCACTTATTCAGTAGCTCACAGTTACATCATACACATTGTCCACTACAGGACAGTCACAGACTCTAAAAATAAGCATGCTTCACCACGGTCGATGCTATGATGGGGCCTCTGGTTGCTATGGCAACCAACGGCAAATGCGCAATGTGCAGAAACACTGAAGCAGATCACGGAGTAGCAGCGATGGGTCACGTGGTCTGCTCTGCAGTGTTTAGGATTGTGTGTAAATAGGTCAGTGGCAATGAAGCTGAAGGACTGCGAGGGCATTGTAGGCAAGCTGATTGGGTGCTACTTGGGAGTGACACTATCTGATTCAGTGCTCATTATCTTGGTTGGTTGAAAGATGGATTGATAAGCTTCAAATAGGCACGACAAAGAAATCTTTTGGGGGTTCTTTATTAAAAAATGGGGGAAAAAGTAATCATGGTCTAATATATGCTATTTAGTCAGACTGTTATCAGTTTTCCATGCTAGTTTATGATCACCATGTGTTACGTTAATAATACTCTTTTTTTTTTTTTTTTTCCCCTTTTTTTTTCTTTCTTTGTTAGATTGCTATGGGTATTCCTCTTCATCGGATCAAAGACATTAGAATGCTTTATGGCGTTCAGCCCTGGGGGGATTCTCCCATTGATTTTGAGGCTCTGTCAACTGCCCCTTCCCCACGGGGCCATGTCATTGCTGCTCGTATCACCAGTGAGAACCCAGATGAGGTACGATTCACTCATTCCTGCTGTGCAAAAGTTTTCCAGCCAAAGGTTACCCAACGATTCATATCTGCTGACGTTATTGTGTGACTGATATTACTTTTCAGTCTTCTTTTTTTTTATTTTTTATTTTATTTTAAAACAACAAGTACTATTATCACTACTGTTTAAATGTCCACTTTGCATCACTGTGTTTATGCTGTGTGATTGCAGGGTTTCAAACCAAGCTCTGGAACAGTGCAAGAGCTGAATTTCCGCAGCAATAAGAATGTGTGGGGCTACTTCAGCGTTGCAGCAGCTGGAGGGCTGCATGAGTTTGCCGACTCCCAGTTTGGGCACTGCTTCTCATGGGGAGAGAATCGTGAAGAAGCCATCTCGTGAGTATACTCAGAATTAAGAAACATTGCTCTTATTTATTTTGCTGCATTTTATTATATACACTTGCCAATATGGATTATTTCTGTACAATGTCTAAACAGAGGTTATGGCTTCTTTTAGAAACATGGTGGTTGCGCTTAAGGAGCTGTCTATCAGGGGTGACTTCAGGACAACAGTGGAATACCTCATTAAGCTGCTGGAGACAGAAAGCTTCCAGCACAATAGTATTGACACAGGCTGGCTGGACAGACTTATCTCAGAGAAGATGCAGGTATGTGGAGATTATGCAGCTGTTGCCAATGGATGTTCTTAACTGTAATGACAGGTTATTTAATGTTTGACCTATATGTTAGTGTCTGCACTGAAACCACAATAAAACCAAATGTTGGGATGATAGTCTCTTTGGTTTATCCTCCTGATATCCACAGTATGTAATGCATGACTGTTTTTGTGTAAGTTCTAAAGTGTAATTTACATGCAGGCGGAGCGTCCTGATACCATGCTGGGAATTGTGAGCGGTGCACTGCATGTGGCAGATGTTAATCTCAGGAACAGTGTTTCCAACTTTTTGCACTCTCTGGAAAGGTAAAAATCGAATGCAAATAATATATGGTCAAATACAGTACTGCACAAATTCTCTAGCCTCAATCCTTTATATATCGCTAGGAATGTGGGAAATGTGTGCAGTGGTTTTTTTTAAAACATACATAGGAATGCAGTATATAAGGCAAAAATTATTCTAATGAGCTTGAAAGTGAATATTTGGTATCACTACCTTTAGTCTTCAACACAGCCTGCCCACACTGAGGCAAGCTTTCTTTTCATTTCTTGAAGTAGTCTTCAGGAATAGTTCTCTAGACTTGTTCCATTCTCTGTTGAGATGATAGTCAATGACTAAAGGTGTACCCCTGTGTGCATTTTCTATCCACGTATGGTTTTATTGCTTTGACAGTGTCTTTGGGATCATCGCAATGCTGAGACACTTTCTGATGAAGCTTTAGAGAATTGTAGAGGATCATTTGATGTTAAATATATATAATTGTTTTAGGCCCACCATTTGTCCAGTTTCTTCATTTTTTTAAGGGCACACTGCATACTGTTGGTATTTTCCAATGATTTGGCTAAAGAAATGGGAACAGATGATTTGTTTTTGAGATGGGCTGCTAACAACAGAGATACAATTTGAACTTGTTTCTTTGCTAAACTGTTTCTTATGTGTAGAAGCATTACTGGTAAATTAGTTTTGGCCATTATTTAATATGTAAACAAACAAATGAGTTGTAATCTGTTGTAAGCCGCAGTAGAAAGCATTTTGAATAGATAACATGAGACTGTACTCTCTGACCAGGGGGCAGGTGCTACCACCACACACGCTGCTCAACACTGTGGATGTGGAGCTGATCTATGAAGGTACTAAGTACGTTCTGACAGTGACTCGTCAGTCTCCCAACTCCTATGTGGTCATCATGAACAATTCTTCTGCTGAGGTGGATGTCCATCGGCTTAGTGATGGAGGTCTTTTGCTTTCATATGATGGAAGCAGCTACACTACGTACATGAAAGAAGAGGTGGACAGGTAAACAAAACCATTAACTGTATGAAAGAATTGTTACTATTGTAACCGTAAGTTTACCACAGGACAACAATTTAAAAAAACAAACAAACAAAAAAACCCCTGCAAATATTCTTATTGTTATTCTAATCTTAAATGAATAAAAATTCTTTATTCATTTAAGACAGGGGTCTCAAATTCAAATGAGCCGCAGGCCACTTTTGGCACCATCATCTCATTGGAGGGCCACTTTAGTGTCCAAGTAGTACAAAAAAACACGAAAACACCCACTAATATTTCCTAAAATGTAGTGTTTTGTTTGTTTTATTTAATTCCAAATATTGTGTAACAAGACAAAATTGCAAACATGAACACAATTTTTTTTTCTCACTCTCAACTATTTGAAGCCTTTCAGTTTCAGTTTCATTTGTCATATGCAAGTTAGCACAGGGTCAACATTGCAATGAAATGTATTTGACGAGCAGAAGACTCAGCAGTATAGTACAGTAGTTTCATTGAACTACCAAATAAACAGCTCTTTTTGGCCAGACACGTGGAAGCACTTTTGCTACAATTTTGTTTGAATTTAACAAAATAAAAATGCAGCCATAAGCATACACATTAGTTTTCAACTGCAAGTGAAAATTGTTTTCTTTCCAAATAAATCTCTCACTGAACTAACACAGCCAATCCCTCAACATGTTTGCACTCTCTTGTTACCTCGGCCAGGTCTGCGGCTCCGAACTGTGGTAAGGAGACCTCTGGCTAATACTTTGGGTTCCGTGTCGGGCTCGTAGCCGGGAACTAGCTTTACTGTCTGGGTCAACTTTGCTAGCGAGAGACAGAAAGAGGCATTGAAAGGATGCTCCAGCAGAACATTATTGTTTCGGAGGAAAACACGAACACATTGTAAAGTCGAGTCTTAATAGCTTACTGGGCTCGTCAGGCACTCTTTTTGGCTGCAGTGGTAATTTTTATATTTACATGCTTCCATCTCCCGTTTCTGCTCGGTAGCACCTCGTACTTTTCGACTTTCCTTTTTCTCCTTCCCTCACGCTCATACAGTCTTAAAGGGCCATCCCTGTAACACTCTGCCGTCGTATTAAATCCTTTTTCGTATAATAATTTTTAAAAAATATTTCTTCACATCAATATGCGGGCCGGGCCACAAGTAGAGGTGACGTGGGCCGCGAGTTTAAAACCGCTGATTTAAGATCTTCAGATAAAACATGACACTGAAATCTTCTAATTTCTGGTTTGTTAACACTGTTTTTGTTTTGTTTTTTTGTTGGCAGGTATCGCATCACAATTGGGAACAAGACGTGTGTTTTTGAGAAGGAGAATGATCCCTCGCTGCTGCGGTCTCCTTCAGCAGGAAAACTCATTCAGTACACCATTGAGGATGGCGGGCATGTGTTTGCTGGCCAGTGCTACGCTGAAATAGAGGTACATTAGTTTAATGGTTAGTTGTGTGCAGTCCACTATAAAGATGGAATCTGTAAATATACATTATGGTTATTTGCAAATAAACAGGTGATGAAGATGGTCATGACCCTCACTGCAGCAGAGTCTGGTTGTATTCACTATGTGAAGAGGGCTGGAGCAGCATTGGAGCCTGGCTGTGTCATTGCCAAGTTGCAACTGGATGACCCAAGCAGAGTGCAGCAGGTACATTATGTCTCATCATTCCACTTTATTGTTGTCACAGATACAGTATTTGCTGTGCAGAAAGTAGGATTTTGTATAATGCAAAATGACGGTTAATGTAATATTTTTGTTTACATCAGGTTAAATTAGAGCATCGGTTTTAACTTTGATGTCATTTGGCCATGAAAAGTATCTTAGCAGGTATCTTGGTAACACTGAGTATTAGTTTGACTATGCATGTGTTGCGTTTAATGATTAATCGCTTTATGGAGTTGAATGTTCAGCTATATGAGGGGAACCAATGTGCAAGAAGAGACAGACAATTAAATCTAACGGATGTTAAACTCCAGCACAAGCGTCTCAAACTAAGACGAATAGATATGTCACCGACACATATGCTTGCTTTCTACAAGCCGTACCTGAACAACCCCCAGACATGAGAGTGTGTGTGTGTGTGTGTGTGTGCGCGCGCGCGCGCACACACACACACACACACACACACAAATATCCAGCCTATAAGCATTTCTCTGCTCTACCATTGTATTATAATTACATATCATTATCTGCCATAGAAAACCAATGAGGAACCAAATGAACCAAAATGAGGTTGAGCTCACCATCATCATGAGTCTATATTGCACCCATATGGTGAAGCAAAGAGCAAAACAGCAGTAGTGTTCTCAAGAAATTGTAAAATTACCAAAATTGAATAAATTAAAAAAATATAAAACTTAACACAACAAGTAAGCAGAGAATAAACTAAGCAGTGGATTAAGAATTGCTTATTTCACACCATAACCTCTACCTCCTACTAAAACACACCATTGACACTCTGATGTATTTTAAAAATCCAGTGACATATTAGTAATCGGTATTTGTATTGTCTCACAGGCTGAGCTCTACACAGGGATCCTGCCTTCTATCCAGGCAGTAGCTTTGAGAGGAGAGAAGCTGCACAGAGTTTTCCATAACACACTGGGTCATCTTGTTCACATGATGAATGGCTATTGTCTACCTGAGCCTTTCTTCAGTGCTAAGGTAAGAATTCATGTACACCAGTGTGCACACCAGCATTACTTTGCTTAGTCTTGAACAGTTTCTGACAAACACACTTCTTGTGTCTCTCCTAGTTGAAAGAATGGGTGGAAAGGTTAATGAAAACCATGCGCGATCCTTCTTTACCACTGTTGGAGCTTCAAGACATCATGACGAGTGTTTCAGGTCGCATCCCCCCTGCTGTGGAGAAGGCCATCAAGAAGGAGATGGCTCAGTATGCCAGCAACATAACTTCTGTGCTTTGCCAGTTCCCCAGCCAGCAGGTGCATCACAAACACTTGCACATGAACCACATATTTCTTACTACACATACCTTATCAGCTTTTCAGACCTGAGCTCCTTCTTATACAGTTACAGCCCACTTTCATGTGACCATTTTTTAAAAATGTATTTTGAAAACAATGAACCCAGTGGCTTCCTGCAGAATGAAAGTACCATATCTAGGTGCAGGTGTGTGTGTGAGTGACAAATAGATTTGTGGTCCAGAATTTCATGTAGCTTTTAAATTTCTTTACATAGCCTGTAACACACACTTGTTAAGGAACGCGTTGTCAGTGCCAAAGGGATTAAATGCTTATCAGTCTCCACTGCTGGTGGGATTAAATGCTTATTGTTTCTTCCTTTGTTTCCAGATTGCAAACATACTGGACAGCCATGCAGCTACTCTTAACAAGAAATCAGAGAGAGAAGTCTTCTTTATGAACACACAAAGCATTGTTCAGCTGGTGCAGAAGTGAGCAACATCAAGTTTTAATCCTAGGGTTTAAAGTAAATTTTGTCTGTTTTTGTCTGTGTGCTTTATCTGCACAACAGCATACATTTTTCTTGTAAGACCAGAATGTTTTTGTGTCTAACAGGTACCGCAGCGGCATCAGAGGTCACATGAAGGCTGTCGTGATGGACTTGCTTAGACAATATCTAAAAGTAGAGATCCAGTTTCAGAATGGTGAGAAAAAGTGACTTGACACTTTCTTGCTTGGATAGCAGAAAAATTGCATTAGCATATTCTCACCACTTGATGGTGCTCTTAAACCTCAAGTTTCCTGTCCGGTTTTTACCAACGCTCTTATCTATATGTCAACAGGACACTACGATAAGTGTGTCTTTGCACTGCGTGAGGAAAACAAGGGTGACATGGCCAATGTGCTCAATTATATCTTTTCCCATGCTCAAGTCACCAAGAAGAACCTACTTGTTACTATGCTGATTGTAAGTATCAATTCTTACTGATTTAGAAATCTCTATGAAAAAGTGATTTTCAGCAGTCGTGCCTTTATCATATTCTTCTTCTTCTCCATGTAGGACCAGCTCTGTGGCCGTGATCCAACACTAACTGATGAATTGATGGCCATTTTAACTGAACTCACCCAGCTCAGCAAGACAACCAATGCAAAGGTGGCGCTGCGTGCTCGGCAGGTCAGAATTGAACTCCTAATCTTGTTTGACATACTACAATGAAATAACAAAATTTAAAAAAAACAAAACAAAACTGTACAGCAATGAAGAATTACTATTTGGAAACTAAAAGAAGTTAGTTGAAAAAAAAAAAGATCTAAAAGCCTGTTTGTTTAGCTGAAAAGCTTTTGAAGTGGCAGAGGCTGTGGATTGGCTCAGGTAATGCCTAATTGGTAGGACTGTGGATTTTTTAACCTCTGGAGTAGCCTGACATGCACTTTTAAGATAATATTGCTATAATTGGCAGCAACATGGGCCTTAAACTCTGTGATTGTTCTGTTGAGCAGTAATGTGCCCTGTAAACACAGTATGAAAGAAAATGTCATAGTTTGTAGTTGTATCTAGCTTGCTCATTTTAATAATGCAATAGCTAATATTCATCCATACATCTCTGACAGTCTGTGTAGAGAGAAGTCTTTTCTCTTTGCTGTTTTATTAAAAGTAACTGTTTGTCAAAGTGCAACATCAAAGCTCAGAATCACCTGTGATCGCTGAGCAATACAGAAACACCAACACAACTATAAATGTAACTCACTACCAGACTTTATTTATTTAGTATTTTCCCACCAGATGTCACTATATGCTCTCCACTGTGTGAGAGAGAAAATTTCTTTAAAAAAAAAATTAAATATAAATATAAAGTAAAACATGTGACTCATTAGCACAACAAAGTGTGTAGCTGAAACAGTGTAAAGGTTGACACTGTCAGAAAATGTAAAGGAAAGCATAATTAAGTATTGCTTGCTGTGCTATACTTGAAGAGCACATTTATCTTATTCTTCCAGGTGTTGATAGCTTCCCACCTTCCCTCTTATGAGCTACGACACAACCAGGTGGAGTCAATCTTTCTCTCTGCCATCGATATGTATGGGCACCAGTTCTGCATTGAGAACCTTCAGGTGAGCATTAAAGGGCAAGAGCAGTAGTTGTGGCTGTGCATGTGTTTCAAAACAACAGACAAAATGTCCAAGGTGTATGATTATACTTTTTTTTTCTTTGTTATTTTTCTTTCTCTAGAAACTGATCCTTTCAGAGACATCCATCTTTGACGTTCTCCCCAACTTCTTCTACCACAGTAATCAGGTAGTCAGGATGGCCGCCCTGGAGGTGAGAGGAATAAGAGTCTTGTTTATTAATCAGTTTCTCTGAATTTAAGTTGAACAAACTTTACAAGCACTTCACATATCTGACCAGCATTGCCTGTCTTCAATAATGTCAGGTGTATGTTCGGAGAGCATACATCGCCTACGAGCTCAACAGTGTTCAGCATCGACAACTGAAGGACAACACATGTATAGTAGAGTTTCAGTTCATGCTTCCCACTTCACATCCCAACAGGTATTGCTCATGAAAATAGCTGAAACGCGTACATGTGCATTACTATTCTGCTGTCCTGACCCCCTCCTTTCCCCAGGACGCTGTGCCATCAGTAATTCTACTCATACTCTCATGTTGAATTTTCCATTAAAAGTTAGCTTTTATCAAAATTGCTTGCAAGGTGACAACACAACAATAATAATATTAGTCTGCGTGTTAGCAGCGGGACCTGCAATGATGTGCTGCAGTCGCTGCTTATGCCTGTGTTTCTAAATAGAGGAACCTGAATTTTTTCCTGTCTTACAGTTTTCTACAACATTTTATTATCTCTTTTTTTGAAATCCTAAGTGAAGGTGTAGCATGGCTGCACAAAATTTTCATGACCTATTATACTGTAACTGTTAAAAGATAAAGAATACTTATTATTAAGTACAGTGGATATAAATAGCATACTCACCCTAGTTAAAATGCCAAGCCTCTGAGAAATAAAAATTAGAACCACAATAAATAATTCTCAACTTTTAGTACCTTTAATGTGACCTATTACCTGTGCAATTCAATTGAAGAAACAAATCAGCATAATAAGCTGGTTGCATAAATGTGCACAACCTTTAATTCAGCTGTCTGCAAGAAACTTGAAGGGTTTCTTGTGACTGGTGGTAGAAATGTTTTGAGTTCTGTCCACTCCACTAACACAGCCAAAAAGTTCTACCTTCAGACCGTATCACATTTTCCCACAAGCTTTTAGGAGACTTGTGTATGGATGTTGTCTTTGTCAGAATAGGCTTCAGTCTTGCAACACTAGCCCATAGTATAGACGTAGACTGAGTAAATGTCAGGAAAATCCTATTAGGACAGCTGAACTTTATGCGAGGTTAACGAGAGTCTCTAATTGATGACAACTGTGTACTCAAGAAAACTGAATGCCACGATTAAATTAAAAGGTGCTTCAGTAATGTACTAGTTTTAGAGGTGTGCATTTTTATGCAGCCAGCTTATTGTACATTTTTTATGTTTACATTTTTATTCCCCATAACAGATTGGTTTGTTTTTCTCTTGAGTCGTACAAGTTATAGGTCACAATAAAGGTGGGAAGAATTTTTATAATGATTTATTGTTGTCTCATTATTTTTTTCCCCAGCAGGGATGTGTGCACTTTTTATATCCACGGTCCCTGTTTTTTTTTTTCCTACCTCTGTGTCACTGTTCGCCATTGTTTTTCCTGTATATGTTGTCATGTGCAAAAAAAGAAGGTATTTTTTGCCACTGAAAATACTTTTCTTGGTTTGTTAAAACAGGACTGAGCAATTAAGCAATTGAGAATCAAGAGTTTCAGGTCACGTGCTCTTAAGTTCTGAGGGAAAAGGAAAACATCTGGCACAAAAAAAGTCAGAAGTTATTGTACGTGCTCAGTATTTGAAAAGGTTTTTAACAGACACAGTACTGTGGCATTTCTGTTGCACTCACTCAGTTTCAGCAGCTGGGTTCAGTTCGTCCATGTCTGATTGCATGTTTTGTGTATTTTTTGCTTGTTTCAATGCATTTGCTTGTGGTTACTAAGTAGTGCTTTTTTTTTTTTTTTGAAATCCTTGCACTCATCCATCCGCATGCTTGTGTTTTACTGTGTATAAATTAACCTTCATTTTTGCATCATTATTTGTGACATACAGAACGGCATGAGAGTGTGATGTGATCCGCTCTTTGTTCAGAGTTAGTCTCTGAACAGGGTTTGTTTGTTTGTTTTTGGATCACGTGATGCATGTGTAGAGGAAGCAGTTAAGTAGCAAAATGTGTGTTTATTGTGAGAAAGAGTTATTTACCATAATTTTACCATTCATTACATCCGTTTCTATATGCAGTGGATGCATACAAGATTCTGAAACTACACCCATGAAATTTTCCAGTCCCCCCCCCCAAAAAAGAAACAAACACACACATACAAAACACCAAGGATACAAATGTAATTGGCTGCATTTTCATCAGATGTGTTTCTCGTTAATCTTTTTATGTGTAAAGTCACAGAATAATTTGATTGTTCCCAGTGCAAAAATATGTTAAGGGACACATAATCACATGCACACATTGCTACACCTTAAATGTCTTCCTTCTGATGCCTGTCACTAACCACTTGATAATCAATGTTATTTGATTGCAGAGGGAACATCCCCACTCTAAACAGGTAAAACATTCTTTTAATTGCATCAACTACCAGTGACTAGCTAGCTGGATGAATAAAGCTGTAATTCAAGCTGAGATTAATTACCTAGTTGTTGGTTATAAAGCTGTTTTATGTGTTTAGATTTAGTAACTTTGGTCTAGTCTGGTTGATATTTGCAGAGTAATTTAATTTTACTGACATCTGCATGGCCTATGGCATTCAACCTTTCTGCCAAAAAATGTCTTTACTGATGGGTGCCTGTTTCTGTTGAAATGACTGCTCTGTATCTAACTGCTGTGTGTATGTGCTTCAGTATTGTGCAAGTTTAAGATAACTTATGTATGTCATATAGTTTAAGATGATCACATAACATTTTGGTAGAAATCATATACTAGTACGCATCTCCAAAACTGAAACCTCTGACTGTCCTGCCAGGAAAATGTTTCCTTCAGTCCTGGAAAATCTTAAAGTCATGGACACTAAATTAGAGGAAACTAAGCCCCAGGACCCTAAAGCACCAGAAAATGAATCGCAGGATGATAAAGCTGAGAAGAAAAATGCATCAGATTTGGATACTGTGGACAGGTTTGACACATAAGACCTCTCGAGTGCTTATACAAGCTGTAACTTTGGGGTTGCCTGCTTACAATCAAAGGACTAACACACATCAAAATGAAACTTGGATACTTCAGGGGTCATTCTGGTGGTTTTACGTTTTCTTGTACTCTGCAAACTGATGTTATCGTAACAGGATATATCTAAATGTCCTTGCCTACGGTATAGCTCTTTTCCTATGTTCACTCCTTGGTGGCGTTTTGTTACTACTTGTTTATTTTACTTGTTTGTTTTGTTTTTTTTAACATTCGAGCCTTTTTTAATATTTCTCTGTCTACACATTAGGATGTCATTCTCATCCAACCTGAATCACTACGGCATGGTGCACATGGCCAGTGTGAGCGACGTTCTGCTTGACACGTCTTTTACACCACCCTGCCAGCGCATGGGAGCCATGGTGGCTTTCCGCAGCTTCCAGGAGTTCACCAAGTCAGTCCTTGTGTAAAAGAATTCTAAACTTGAGTGGTTTTTATTGGGAGGTAAAAGTATTACTAATCGTTTTTATTTATATTTTTAAATATTCTATAGGAACATAACGGATATGTTGAGCTGCTTCTCTGACTCTCCTCCACAAAGTCCAACCTTCCCAGAAGGAGGCAATCCCGTGCTGTACGGTGAAGAGGACAACAAGGTGAAGAGGGCAGACTTGTACTAGTCACTAGCCTGTCACTGACCCCTATAACTAAGAATTCGAATTAGATGTGTATTTGCTTTGTCACCCAGAGTATCCAGGATGAGCCTATCCATATCCTGAATGTTGCTATAAAGACTGACAGCGACATTGATGATGATGGCCTGGCAGCTATGTTCCGGGAATTCACTCAGTCAAAGGTGGGAGACATCTACAGCAAAAACCTTGTATCTTGTCAGTTAAGAAAATGGATTAGAATATATGAGATGACTTAGCTCGTTCTTATCATCCTGACTATAAATATATATATTCATTTATTTATAAATTTTTTTCTTATTCCAGAAATCTCTGCTGTTTGAACACGGCATCCGAAGGTTGACTTTCCTCGTGGCTCAAAAGGTGAGGCTTCTGATTTAAAACGTAAAACTCAGAAAACCATCCATCTTCACCATCAGCTGCCTTGCATGCCATCAGTTTCGGCACTACTGAACCGCATGTACCAAAATATCAGAAATAAACTGAGCTTGCATCTGACCTTTTTGTTATCACTAATATTTTATTAATTTGTTATGTGTGGCAATACTGTAGTAATTGTGGTAATAATTTGCATTTGAAATTTAGCTGGTTTTCCTCTTTTGTCTCTGTATCTCCTTCTGCATGCCTTGCTTTTGCTGCATTTTTGATGACAGGATTTCAGGAAGCAAGTCAACTGTGAGGTGGACCAAAGGTTTCATGTAAGTAATGGAAGGCAGAAGAATTCTGTTGTCAACAGTGCATTTGTTTCACAACCAACACAAATTACATAGGAAAAAAATCACTGTAGATGTTGTTGGAAACGCCACCTACAGGAGGTAGATTAATGATAGTGTATTAACATGCATACACTAATTCTGTTTAGCACAGACTTTTTTAATCTTTGCCATCCTGCAGCTGCTTCGTTTTTTTTTTTTTTCTTTGTTTTTTACAGCTCTGTTATACCAGTGATGGGACCACACATTTTAGCCACATAAGAGTTTGAACCCCCAGATGTGGCAGTTTTGTGATGTACCATTTGTCTTTCAGAGTTTGACATATTATCAAGAGACCAGTTGCATTTAGATGACAGGGATTTGAATAGAAAAGGCAAAGTCATTGTCCTCGTCATAATAACAGATGTCCCTATCATTGTGGCCGCTACTGTTTTATGCATGCTCCCTCTGAAAAGACTTTTCTTCAGTTCACTATATTGCAGTGGGTCATTTGCAATCAGTGTTAAATCATAGCTATGGAGGTTTACACTGTGTATACTTTTGCAGTCATCTGATTATTATGTAGCTTGTGGTGTGATGAGGGCGTCTCCAATCCATCTGGCATTATTTTGGCAAGTGGGAGACTTCATGTGATAACATCAGACAGGCCTACCAGGCATTATTCAGAGAATCACTGGATCTCTGAAAGGAGGACATGTTTTATGCATTAGAATGTAATGGGTGCTTATATGTTGAGCCCATTGCTATTATTATGTTAGCCCTCTGCTTTGGTGAATACATAGTGATTTCTTGATAGGTAAATTATCGCAGTAAAAGAACACAGGGGCCCCCTGCGTGTCGATTAAGGTCCTAATTGTGACTGTTCCTTTCCATATAGCTATTTCAGCAAAGATCATAATGGCTTTTTTTGAGCTGCTGTAATTAGACACAGTTGGTGAAAGTCTAATTAATTTGTCATTCTTAACACAGAATTGCTGTCTTTATAGAAAATGTAATCTGTTATGTACAACATTTTGATTCATTTATTTCTTTGTCTTATGATTATTTAAACAGAGGGAATTTCCCAAATTTTTCACATTCCGTGCCAGGGACAAGGTAGGTGCTCACATAACACAAATCCAAATCATCACTGTCATATAAAATGTATTTTTGCTTGAATGTCAAATTAATGTTGAGCCTATGGAGAAGGGACCTCTATTGGAAAAATGAATATACTGTGTATTTAATGTATGTCGGATTATTTCCATGACAATGAAACAGCCTGTTTAGGGAAAAAAAACAGACTGACCACCCGTTCCAAGCAGTGTTAACTTTCATTCAGTTGCAGTCAGTGATGGCTCTTCATTTCTGCTACTCCTGATAGTTTCACTACAATGACATGACTAAAACTCATTAAACTAATGAACTCTTTAATTATGTCCCCCATTTAAGAGAAATGACACCCATTAGCAGCTTTCTGAGATTGATATTGCCCATGACTTAATTTACTTAATACAGTGTGTGGCTCATGGGCGTCTTTTTACACTTAAACCAACTGAGTAATCGTGAAATTGCCAATTTAAACTGTGTCTGTTAATGTTAGAGGTGCTAGTTAAGAAAAAAAACTGAGGTGCTCAGTAAAATATTGAAACAAACTTGTCTCTGCAGGACTGTGTTACTGTTTGTTATTGTATCCTGTCTGTGTCTCAATAGTTTGAGGAGGACCGGATCTATCGTCATTTAGAGCCTGCATTAGCATTCCAGCTGGAGCTCAACCGCATGCGGAATTTTGCTCTCACTGCCATTCCATGTGCCAATCACAAGATGCACCTGTATCTGGGTGCAGCCCGAGTGGAGGTGGGCACAGAAGTTACAGACTACCGTTTCTTTGTTCGAGCCATTATCCGCCACTCTGATCTGGTAACAAAGGTACGATTACAAGCTGGGTTTTGGATGAGAAACGTTCTTTTTTTGCCTTTAATTTTTAGCCCCCAAATTCTGCCGTGTTCGATGCTGTTGAGATTTATTTTTTCCTCCTCTTTTATTAGGAGGCCTCCTTTGAATACCTTCACAATGAAGCAGAGCGCCTGCTGCTGGAAGCTATGGATGAACTGGAGGTGGCTTTCAACAACACAACTGTGCGAACGGACTGTAACCATATCTTCCTCAACTTTGTCCCTACTGTCATCATGGACCCATCAAAGGTCTGGGAAAATATTACCCACAAATATCTGATTGACAGAGTAAATTACTGCCACTGTGTTTGCTTCCTGCTAATCTTTTCTTGTGAACTTCAGATCGAGGAGTCTGTGCGCTCCATGGTGATGCGTTACGGCAGCCGTCTGTGGAAGCTTCGAGTCCTGCAGGCCGAGTTGAAGATTAACATCCGCTTGACTCCAACGGGGAAGCAAATTCCCATCCGCCTCTTCCTTACAAATGAATCTGGCTACTACCTGGATATCAGCCTCTACAAGGAGGTCACTGATTCCCGAACGGGACAGGTGGGGCCCAAAGACCGACAGGTGGGGCACTCATACATCATCCATCTCATCTCCTTATTGTCCATTCACTGGTAAAGGGCATCAGCTCCTTCCTGGAAACCTCAGCTTGTAGAGTGCAATTTGCCAGACTCTGTTGTAAATTTCTCAGTTGTATATATCATAATAGAAACTTCAAGTTTTTATTATTTGGAGTAGAGATCCAGTATGGTGTCTTGCCCATAGCCCATTGGACAATTCTTTTAGCAATATCTTTTTTCTAAACTCAGGTAAGATATGCGAGATTCATCAATCCAGCCGTCCATTCATCTTTCAGTGGTCACGGCCATCTATTCAGTAGTAAGGCAGTGCTGAAGAGATGAAAGCTACATGAAGCAATAAAGGAAGATTTCTGTCATCTTCAACACATTTCATGTCTTATTTTTGTCTTTTTCTCATGTTTGCTCTGTGGTAGCTTTAATGGGTCCATAATATAAGAGATTCACAGTTTGTTTTTTATGTGAAGACTGTTATATGGTTACCAACAAAAGTGACAGCTCGAAGTGTTTTAGCTCTACTCATTTCATGCATTAAGATGTAATATTGTTGGGAGGATAAATAATGAAGTAATAACACATACCAAAGTTGCAACATAGTGAGAGCGCTACATGAGAGGAATTCTTTTGATGTCCAGTAACTATGAGAAGTGCTTTTAATCATTATCACGTTTTTTTTAGTTGTTGTTTTTTTCTGTCATGTGTTTTCATCTTGATTTCATCTTAATGCCAAGGTTGTTGAAGAGATCATTGTATCACTAAAGTGACCACTTTTTTCTTTTTTTCCAGATTATGTTCCAAGCATATGGAGACAAGCAGGGCCCCTTGCATGGCATGCTCATCAATACACCGTATGTTACCAAAGACCTGTTGCAGTCTAAACGCTTCCAAGCACAATCTCTGGGCACCACCTATGTCTATGACTTTCCAGAAATGTTCAGACAGGTACTGTACAAAAACGTGCCTATTATATTTAGCTTCTGCTTAGATGTACTAAATAATAACATATTAACATGCTGCCTATTTTATCCTATCTTCAGGCTCTGAAAAAGCTGTGGCATTCATGTCAGGCTTATGCCGACTTACCTCAGTGTCCTCTTCCTTCTGAGCTGCTCACATTCACAGAGCTGGTTCTTGATGCTCAAGGTCAGCTGGTACAGATGAATCGACTGCCAGGGGGCAACGAGGTCCGTGTTTAAGCTTGAAGCATGAAAACAAACCTTGAAAAGCAGGAATATTTGACATTGACATTTTTTGACACACTCGCCTCTTATTTCAGAATGTACACATTTTCTTTTGCTCTGATGCAATAAAGATGGTAGTATAGATAAATAGATGACTGGATATATGATACTTCTATTTATTCCAAGGATGTAAAGCTGCGTTCTGATTCTGTATTGATTCAACAAATATGGAGGATTTCACACTTTTTATTCCACCGTTGAGCGAACATGGTCATGTTCAAAATCAGAAAAACAACTATGCAGCTAATGTGATTTATTTATTGTCTAATACTTACAGATATTCTGTATTTATTGGGTTAAAGTTTCCCTATTTGATCTCTCCAGATTGGCATGGTGGCATGGCGGATGACCCTGCGAACCCCAGAGTACCCAGCAGGACGTGAGATCATTGTCATAAGCAATGACATCACACACAAGATAGGCTCCTTTGGGCCCCAGGAGGACATGCTGTTCCTGCGAGCCTCAGAGATGGCTCGGGAAAGTGGCATCCCCCGACTCTATATTGCGGCCAACAGCGGTGCCCGCATCGGTCTGGCAGAGGAAATCAGACATATGTTTCATGTGGCCTGGCAAGATCCAGCTGATCCTTACAAGGTCAGCCAGCAGAGTCTCAGAGACATTAGGCTATACTTAAACTTTAATTTAAATTTGTGTAGAATTATTATTTTTTTTATTTTAACTGAAATCCACTAATCACTATTTGTAGATAATTATTGAGAATATCATAATATTCCTAATACTTATTTTAGTAAGTTTTAGTTATTTAGTTTTCCATAATTCTAAAAGATTTTTTTGTTTTAGATTTGCTGTCATTATCTCAGTGTATTTGCATTTGAAGGTTTATTATTATGTATTAAGTATTTCTTTTTTACTAAAGGTGTAGTATAGAAATTCTGAGACTAATCTGTTCTCTCAATTATTTATTTATTTTTTTCTGTCTTTAAAAAAAGTTTCCTGACTTTTTGTCTCCTGCATCTTCATTTTTGTCTATTTTTAAGCTGTCAACATTATTTCATTTGCATGTTTTTTTTTTCCTACAGGGTTTCAAGTATCTCTACCTCACACCTCAGGATTACAAGAAGGTTTCAGCTCTAAACTCAGTGCATTGCGAACATGTGGAGGATGAGGGTGAATCGAGGTACTTTTTTTTTTTTTAAGTATGCATTAATAGTTAATTTTGTATGTGAGGATATGATTTTATAAGCTTGTTATCTTCAAGCTTCAAACACAAGATGTGACAGATGGAGACAAAGGTAAGAGGGGGTCATCGCATCTGGATTTGAGTGAATGTATGTGTTGTCACGCAGGTACAAGATCACTGACATTATAGGTAAAGATGAAGGGCTGGGTGTGGAGAATCTGAGAGGGTCGGGAATGATTGCCGGAGAATCCTCTCTGGCTTACGAGGAGATCATCACGATGAATCTGGTAAGATTCAAGTGCGCACTTGTGTGCAAACACACATTCATATATGTAGTCTGCTGCTTTGCCTTGAGTTTGTATGTTCTGTTAAGAAGAAAGACTTGCTGTATGTAAAGATGTGAAAAGCTGGATGGTTGCTTATTGGAAGTCTTGCACTCGTCTTGTCCTCTAGGTCACATGCCGAGCCATAGGTATTGGAGCCTATCTGGTGAGGCTTGGACAGAGGACCATACAAGTGGACAACTCCCACATCATCCTTACTGGAGCTGGAGCCCTCAATAAGGTGAAATGGGTCATTTTTGTGTAATTTAGATACAGTAAAATACAGTGATGGTGCCTTTCTGCTGTTGTAGAAGAAAAACATGATTGTGTTGTACACATCTGCACTCTGCTTCTCCTGTAATGGGGAGTGAACACCAAATGAGCTGTTTCTAAATTCATATAATTAATGCATCTGCGCTTTAATGAGCAAACCAATATATATTCATTAGTTGACTTTTAAATTTTTCAGCTAATATGGGAGGAAGGTCAAATGGGTCTTTTGTGTTTTTTTTTGTTTTGTTTTGTTTGTTTTTTTGAATTATGAAAAAAAATGTAACAGAAAACAGTGTGTGCTTTGATGATTTTATTTTTATTTTTCGGTTTATATGCCTTGTTCCCCCCTCCCTGTTTGAGCAATTTTGAAGCTCATTCCCTCCGCCTTGCTGTGTTCTACTGGGATTCCCTTTCCGATCCCAGCCACAGGCCTGGCTGCCACTCAAAGTGGAATAATTGAAAGCGCACCATGAAGTTGTATTTGCATAGAAATAGAGTGACATGCCAGAGGCTGCAGTGCAGGACACCCATATCATTTGTTTTTAATCAGAATGAAAAGTTTTGCTGATGCAGATTGTTTTTTGTTTTTTTTCTCGCCTTTATACACTTGATTAGTGTGTGTCTGTGTGCGTGTCTGCACGCATCGCTGCCTCCTTTTGGCTTGCTACCCATTCTCTGTCCTTGTCAGTGCATTAAGATGATTTCATTTCAAATTGGATGACAGTTCACAACATGACAAGCCATGCAAATGGCCCAATGATGGTATATCTATTTGCTGGAAGCTCAATTGTTTTTAGATTGTCCCACTGTTTTGCTCCATTTGTAGGAGCAGCATCACAATAATGGTTACTGACAAATGTCCACAATATAGAGGTGATGAATAGCAACACATTTTTTTTTTTTTTTTATTTGGAGAAAATGATTTTAACCAGCAACACTGATTTAAGATTTTTTTTTTTTTTTGGCCTGCTCATTTATCATGTGACTTCGTGGCTATTAACTGAAACTTAATAGAGAGCAGGAGGCTGCCACCCAGAGATCATCATTTCATTAACTGCTGGAAAGAACTCCTATTTTCATGGGGAATGGATAGTAACTACTAGCACAAATACCCCAGCGAGCTGTTGCTACCACTTGGTGCCTCGTTTTCTTCCTTCCAATCATCTCCCTTCGTTCCTCCTCCTTTGTCTCCTCCTCTTCTCTCCGCAGTGGAATCTTAATGAATCTGGCGATGGCCAGAGGCACAGGGGTTTTGTGTATGTCAAGGTGACTGCAATGTTTCTTGGGGCAGCCAGCTTTCCTGACAGCTTTAGGAGAGTGCCCTAGATTTGTAGCCAGATACATAACCATTAATGGTAATAAAAAAAGTAAATGATGGCTGAAAAGGTGAGAGCTGAGGGTAGGGATTGAGCTCCTCTCTGATTTTTATAGAAGCATGTCAGGGCCCTGCCACCTGTTCTGAGATGCTTATGAAAATAGGGTGGGCTGGAAGTGAGATTTTATGGCTTCAGGTTGGCAAAGGAACAACATGAAGATAAAATAAGTTTGGTGGCTCTAAATGTATACAGATACATTGGTTTCTGTTGCACACCAGAAATGGATGTAAGCCAGTATAATGAATTAGGTTTTCTTGTTAAGAAAGCGACGTGTTAATTCAAGCAATGTGTTAAGAAATCGGCTATGAAGAGAAGCAGGCGCTGTCCCCAAAAATGTCACTACTGTGAAAGAGGGGTATCGACAAGGCTGCCGTAACCTGGATACACAGACTAGAAACTTGTTTACAACACTTCCTGTTGTCAGCCAGTGTTGCGCAACAGTATTTTGACTTAGTTTGAGACTAGTTTTTAAAGGGTAAATCCACATTCTGTTCAATTAAGCGGGAAACTAATGCTTCAGGTTTTGAAACATTGCCTTCTTTAGTTGCCTGATCTAAAATAAAATACCTTTGTCAAACATTTCCCCAGAAATCCATACATTTGTCCTTTTCCTACATTAGGTGCTGGGCAGAGAAGTGTATACATCCAACAACCAACTCGGTGGAGTTCAGATCATGCACAACAATGGTGTCACTCACTGCACTGTTTGCGATGACTTTGAGGGAGTCTTCACTCTTTTGCAGTGGCTGTCCTACATGCCCAAGGTAACAGCTAGATGTTTAGAAAGAATGTAAATATAATAATGTAATGTACAATTTCATTTAATAATGTGATATCATGATCATAATGAGTGATCTTTTCCTCAGTGTAAATCTAGCCCAGTGCCCATCCTTAATGCCAAGGATCCCATAGATCGACCGGTAGAGTTTGTACCTACCAAGGCTCCTTATGACCCTCGCTGGATGTTGGCAGGACGCCCCAGTCAGAGTGAGTGCCTAATGTGGACATATTTAAATTTGATTATGAAAAAGTTTGGACTAGCAAATCGATTCTCGAGTAATATTTGAAGAGTGTGTATTAAAAAAAAATGCAGACCTTCTATTCACTGTAGCTTCTTTGTTACTCTGTATTAAATGCTCAGTTTTATTTACTAGAAATCATCCTATTAATTATTAATGCTATTGATGTTATAATTCTGAACATAGTCAAAAAAGATGCAGTGATTTGTTTAGCATCTAAGCTCTCAAATCTAAGCTTTGACTATAAAAATAATGTATACACTTCACTTTTCCTCTAATGATCATTAATATTGCTTCATCAGCAGTTGTTAAAAAGTCAAGCCACATTTTTTTGTGTGTTATTTAAGGTAAATATAAAGATTTATTATTTCAGCCTGATAGCCTAAGAGTTAAAGGTTGGAATAATTCATTACAAGAGAAAGGCTATTAAGAAACTAAGCAAGAAACAGTGAAGCCTAACACCATGCCGCCAAAGGCCAGATCAGCACCAAAATTGATGCAGTGTGTTTTACACTGCAGGTCAGGACTGAGCAGGTTCCACATCAGTGTAATTACTGCTTGGGATGGCAAAGAGATCGGGGAACCGTGTGGGAAGCCAGTCAACGTCTGGTAGTGATGAGTGGCCAAGCTTAATTGAATGGTAACCTCTTAGGCTGGGCATGTTTCTTGGGGTGTACAGGCAGAAAAAGAGCTGAGCAAGTCTGCTTATACAGTCATCTATCACGGGCGGTGCCAAGATGACAGATCCTGCGAATATACACGCTGAGTCTGCACACAGAAGAAAGCTAGGGATTTTAAAAATATCACGAGAAGAGAGAATGCTTTTTGGAAGTGGATCTGATTGTGTTGCATTTAGAATTTTCACTAAATAACTTCACTTTTTGCCTTTATTTACTCTGTGCATGTATTCTGCTCTCTCTCAATAAAGCTCCAAAGGGTTCCTGGCAGCTTGGCTTCTTCGACCATGGCTCTTTCATGGAGATCATGCAGCCGTGGGCTCAGAGTGTAGTGGTAGGCAGAGCCAGGTAAGTCCCAAATAAAACCAGGTTACATGTCACTAAACGTTATTGATTTACAAAACAAAACAAAAAAATTGATTAGCTTTTAAAAATCATATCAAAGTATTTTGTAGATTTTAACAGTGGATGGCCTCTTTACAGACTCGGTGGGATACCGACTGGAGTTGTTGCTGTGGAAACCAGGTCAGTGGAACTGTCGATCCCAGCTGATCCAGCCAATTTAGACTCTGAGGCTAAGGTAAGGGTCACTGAGTGTGTATATATTCAAGAATGAACAGGCACACAACACATTCACAGACACCTTTGTACTGATACCGCTTTCTTTCGTTTTTATTTTATATTTAGCTCATCCAACAGGCAGGACAGGTGTGGTTCCCAGATTCTGCTTTCAAAACTGCTCAGGCCATTAAGGACCTAAACCGGGAGGGCTTACCTCTCATTGTGTTTGCCAATTGGAGGGGCTTTTCTGGAGGGATGAAAGGTACTTCTGCCTCAGTCACCAACCAATTAGTGATTGAACCCTATCTTCATCTAATATGGTTTTATCCTCTTTAGATATGTACGACCAAGTGCTGAAATTCGGGGCCTACATTGTGGATGGCCTGAGAGAGTACAAGCAGCCAGTATTGGTTTATATCCCCCCACAGGCTGAGCTGAGAGGAGGCTCCTGGGTCGTTATAGATCCCACCATCAACCCCCGGCACATGGAGATGTACGCCGACAAGGACAGCCGGTGAGCTTTGGAGAAAAGGAGGCAGAATTTTTTTATTTTTTTTATTAATACCTTGTCTTTCCTCACTTAAATCCTTTCTGTTTCCAGAGGTGGTGTGTTGGAGCCTGAAGGGACAGTCGAGATCAAGTTTAGAAGGAAGGATCTGGTCAAGACGATGAGAAGAGTAGATCCAGTCTACATGGGCTTGGCTGAAAAATTGGGTAAGCCCCACACTTGAAATCTGAGTATTCCTCTTTAGGGCTATCTCTCTTCCTCCCCGTTTGGTCTTACCTTCATTTAAGGGAGAAGCAAAAGGTGTGAGCATATATGCTTCCCCTGTCATTCTTGATTTTGTGTCATCTTTTTTGCATTCCCCTGGGAGATGTGTCGGTCACAACCTGCTCAGATTAATCACTAGCTCTACTGTCTCTCCCATGCAGACTATTGATTTTTTTTCCCCTTGGACCAATGCTGCAATTGCTTGGAGCTTTCGGCATAGTGATGGTTTACTGTGAGGGTTTCGGGAGCTCATCTGTCTGCTCTGACAGAAGTGAGGGTTTGGGGGCGGTGCTAGAATAAAACCCTATTAGCAGAAGTTGATTCCCAACTACATTCTCATAGAGAACCTGTGTTTATGTATGACATACCAAAAGGCAAATACAGGACTACCATGCAACTGCCTGCATAAAAAAAAATAGGCTGATAGTACAGAGGTAAACAGAAAATACAGTTACATTATACGTGCTCAGAAATGTAGATAAGCAAATGCACTTTTGATTGCTGATCCCTAAATTCAACTTTTTAGAATAATCCAGTGAAATATGCCTAATATGTTTCATGCTATTACTCTGAAACTTCCAACAGGAACCCCAGAGCTGAGCCCTCCTGATCGCAAAGAGCTGGAAACCAAACTTAAGGAGCGTGAGGAGTTTCTTTTGCCCATCTACCATCAGGTGGCTGTACAGTTTGCAGACCTCCATGACACCCCAGGTCGCATGCAAGAGAAGGGGGTCATCACGGTGAGAGCTAACACTATCACGTGTGCACATATGAAGGTGTAGTCTGTGAATAACCTGAAAAGCCCATAGGGGAGTATCAGTCTAGCTGCTGCTGCACCTGCCTAGTGAATAATGTTTGGTCTCAACAGGCTGCGAGAGTCATCCTTATAATTATCTTCTGATGACCCTGGTCTATCACCTTAGCAACTACAGAGCAGCCTTAGGCAGACCCCATCTCATTCTGTGCCTTCACAGACCCATCTTTCACATACAAATGCACACAGATACACACTTTGCTCACATGACCAGAGGGGTGTTTTACAGATGGATGGCAGTCGGGGTGTTTTTTTTTGTTTTTTTTTTCTCTTCCCCTCTTTCCTGCCCTACATGCTATATACAGGAGAGGATTATTACCTATTCTAAAGTATACTAGCACGGAAAAGGAGAACAGACATCCTCAGACCATCAGTTCACTGTAATGTGAAGAACAGCATGTGTTATTAACACACCAATCCGCTTTACAACAATTACATTTTAAATGTGTCGAATTAGATTTGATTTTATTAAGGCTGAATGAAACCTATAAATTCATTGACATTTGTGTCAAAGCAGACAGTTTTTAAGCCAGGTAATACAGTGGTCTACTTAATTAGTGCTACCTGAGTGCCACACTTTTGGCTTCACTTGATACAGAAGGCAATGCTCCACATCAGAATTGGCATTCAGCAGGATTAAAACGTAGCTCTTCATGCTACCAGCTCTTTGTAACGCTAGATGCTTGTCTTTTGCCTCTTCAGGATATCCTAGAATGGCAGACATCCCGTCAGTTCTTCTACTGGCGTCTGCGGCGTCTGCTGCTGGAGGAAACCGTAAAGAGGAAGATCCAGGTGGCCAACAGCGAGCTGACAGATGGGCAGATCCAGGCGATGTTGCGCCGCTGGTTTGTGGAGGCCGAGGGGGCTGTAAAGGTAAAAGCCAATGTTGGCGTTTTTAGGTTTTGTTGTAAAATCGTTCAATATGTATTGGCTCTGAGTGAAAAGTATGATAATATGGAAGGATGTGGTGGTTCATAAATTTAAAAGTTTGACTTTAGAGAGCGAAGGGATCGTGTAGAATTCATTCAGAGTACAAAATAAAAACTTTGAATATTTAAAATACTGGTAAATTCTAGTTATTTTCACAGTAGACTGAAACCAGAATTGTGGAATAACAAAATATCTGTCATGTAGTGAACCTTTTCATCATATCCACACAACCACACAGAATTGTAGACATTTCTGCTTTTCAGTGCCTTTCATGTTAGATTTTTTTAATTTTTTTTTGTAATGTCTCATTGTGTATCGCTCTGTGAAAGTCATCATCTTTCCTTCCTTCCTTCTGTGCTTCCTTGCTTCTAAGGCTCAGAGCTCCAGCCGCTGGGGTGACAGGAGTCGGCTCAGTGTTTGAGATCTCTTAAGAAGTGGCCTTCTTGTTAGCTAATACATTACCCTAATCAGGACTGGCTGTCTTAAGCCACAATTAATCACAGCCCTGGCACGTGCAGATAGGAGAGCAACACGCTGTTTCTTAATTAAAAGCAAACAGATTAAAAATGATTAATAAGGGCGTTAAATGTTCTTGTGGACCTCAAGCAGGACTGTTCATAAAAAGGCAAGAGCCCATTAAACCCCCAAATCTTCACTAAGCCCTCCAGCCTGGCTTTGTTTGGGAACAGAAAATGCCAGCACTCATGAATACTAATTTTTCCATCAGGTCCAGTCAGCAAGACATCAGGCCCCCACTTTGTGCCTGTCCATCTTTTTTGTTGTTGTTGTTGTTGTTGATGTTGATATTTATTTGTTGATTCATGATATTTTGCTAATTTTATCTTTTAATATGGTGTGTAACTTTTAATTGCTTTTACTTCCACTCATTGTTGCATCATGAAAAAAAGTGGGATTTTCAGGCTTTATAAATGCTTAACTGCTGCATACAATGATTCATTTTCTGTCCTTTAACGCTCTCTGTGTTCTGCAGGCCTATCTGTGGGATAACAATGAAGAAGTGGTGGCATGGCTGGAGAGGCAGCTAGCTGAAGAAGAGGGTGCAAGATCAGTCATCGACGAGAACATCAAGTACATCCGCAGAGACCACATCCTCAAGCAGATTCGCAGGTGATCATTCAAAGCTGTGCAACAGCGCAAACTGCTGCTGAGTGCTGGAATTAAATAGCTCATTTTCTCCTTTCTTAACCTTCATTCGCCCACCTGACAGGCTCATTTTCTTTTGTTTCCCTCTCTTTTTTTTTCTCCCAGCCTTGTTCAAGCCAATCCAGAGGTTGCCATGGATTCTATTGTGCACATGACCCAGCACATCTCACCTACTCAGAGAGCAGAAGTGGTACGTATCCTGTCCACTATGGAGACATCAGCATCCTCCTAGTGGGGGCCTGTCTTTGCCCATGCTTGGCTTAAAGCCCAGCTTAGGCCATAGTCAGACCTAAACAGAGCCTGGTTCAACCTGATCTGGAGATTGAGGCTAGAGGAGCCAGCATGATGACCCCTGGCAGCAGCCACGTTGTTAATGAACCGCTGGCAATGATTCTCAGTAATCAAGAGTTGACTGACATCATTTATACCATTTTGTAAATGGCAGTACACATGTGCTAGTATTTAAGATGAATTTGTGTATTTTGTACTGAAGTGCAATTAAAAGAATGACAATATAGAAATATCTAGTGAATTTAATTTAATAATACGTTTGGAGTTTACACAGATGACTCGAGAGGATGTCTATGCTTCCATGATAATCCATGCTTTTCAACTGGAGTGTTCCCAAGTATAAATTAAACACACTGTTCTTAAAAAGACACCTAGGTTTGTGACATACGCTTGCTAAGATTTGCAAGCGTTTTGATGACCAGCTCAACAGTGGCGACACATTGCTAGAGGAGTTAGAAAGAAAGGGTTTTTTTACACTCCTAAGCATGGAGCACTTAGTTACTGAACAAAGACAGAATTGAACAGGGGAGCTCAGCAGGGAGCAGCAGAAAGGTCCCTTTTAAACCCCAACTATTGCACAGTTACCCTGCAGTGAGCAATGGGCAGCTCGCCTCACAACAAAACCACAGCTGTCCCCTTCACACAGTAAATGCTGCTTTAGAGGCACTTTAGTGCTTACTGTTCCCTTACATTGCAGCCAGAATCAAGCCTGCATTTGAAATGTTACATCTAGCATACGTGCAAACATAAATGCACAAAGTGAAACAAACAGTAACGCACGGAGAGTTGACGAAAGCTTGAATACGAAATGATAATGGCACTAGACGGAGTTTAAAACGTAAGCTTGCTCAGAAAGGTCTTTTTTTTCCTCTTTTTTTTGACAGCTGTTGAGTCTTAAGTTACGCTTGTTCTAAATTTATGTTTTATTTGTTTGAGTTTCTGTTTTTTTTTCTAAAGAGATATATTTGAATTAACAATCAAATGGCCAATTTTTTTAAAAATGTCTGTGAAATGATAAAAGCTACTGTTCACATATACGTTACATTTTAACTGTAATCAACTGTTGCTGAAGTTTTTACATCTGGTGTATGAAATGTTGTTTATTTTTACCATTTAAACCAGTCTTCTGAATCACATATTCCACTGTATTTGTGTTATGATAGAAAGACAACCTGTTGTAAGGAACTGAGTACATAATGCTAATAATAACAACAGCTAAAGGGCACTACATTGTTAAATTTAGACTTTTAGATCATTGTGTCATTATAATGCACTGCTGAATACCAATGTTGGCAATGTGAAATGGCTTCATAGTTATTGCTGTGCCTTTTCTGTGTGTGTGTGTTGACACCTGTACTGACAAGCTTCCCAGCTGCTTTCTAAGTAACTGGATGTTTCCTAATTGAAGACGGAAAATAATCTACACTGATGACGATGTGCTCTAAATGTAACTTCAACTTTAAATAAAGCTTACCCAACGTAGTTTAAAGTTTTTTGATTTATTTTTTTTAACAAATGTCTTGTTTTCAAGAATTTATGCTAATTTAATTTGTCAATTATTTTTCTATATCGATGATTCCGGCGACTGATAATCACATCACTGGAAGCCTCATTAATTCCAGTAGTCAGAACAAAGTCTGTGACTCTGGAGAGACATTTTCTGATTATTTGAAAATGATAGTCTTCCCATTCCTCAATCCACAGATGATTAAAGTGCCATTTTTCTCTCTGGCTTTTAAACTTCAACAGTATTAAGGAGGATGAAGCAGATCAAACAAATATTGAGGGATCTAGCTCATCCTCCCCTTTTTTTCTTCTTTTTTTTTATTCCGGCTCTTTCTTTCATATCATCCCCTTGGCTCTGTCAACTCTATTACCATGTTACCAACAAATATGTAAGACAAATTGAGTTGCATGCACCCAATACCCACCACAATTATAGACGGCCCAATAAAAGAAATGATTCATTTGGTAGTATAATTGGAAATGTGCCTTGCTTGGTCTTGCTGGTCTCCCAGAGGGTTCTTGCTCATTTGTAGTGGCATGCTAGGCCGATTAATTCTGCTTTTAATCACTGACAAACTGCGAAATCAGGTTCCTCGTCAGCCACTGGAGGGAAGAGGATCAGTAGGTGAAACTGACAGAAACTTGTAATGATCTTTCTCTAGTTAAGGATGCAAACCGGATCTGCTGATATATAGTTAGTAGCTTTGTAGGAAATAAATAAATAAAGAAGAATACTTTAAATGTTACTACAGTTGAATTAAATATTCATCTTTACCCAAATGACAAGCCCCAGTGACTTCTGGTGTCACGCAAAAAAAATGTGACAAAAACAGGAGGGGGCAGAAAGAAATATTAGTGAAAGAAAGGGGGGAAAAAATTCACATCTGTGATGAGACTGAAAAAGAGGCATTACGATGAGAAGACTCAATCATGCATCGGAGACAACCATAATTCCACATTCACGCGTCACAATGACTTGACAGCACTTGAGAGACAATGCCTGTGACCCAGTTGCAGGATTCCAATTAGCAGGGTGTATGCAACAGTTGAGATGAAAAGAGAACAGGGTCTTTACAGAGCCCCAGGGCTGTCTGATTACTGCCTGAAAACAAGAGTCTTTTGGCCATGACAAAGAGTAGACAGGCACAGAGGGAGTGCCAGGTCCCAGCTGTTCTCCCCTTTTTTCCAGGCAGAGGATTTTGAAGAGCTCATCTCATCTCTGCGTTCTTGCTTGTCTTTTTACATTTCAGACATACTGCAAATTTATAACAGGCCAGCGCACTACAATGCTATCAATTTTATGAGTATGTGGTCATTTTTAAATTAATTGTTCCCCCTACGGTATTGAAATAAATGTTGGTTTCAAACCTGTTTCTCTTACTTCAGGTTATATACTGAAAGCACACTGAGGAAAATATTTTTTTTCAATAACTGACAAAAAAACCAAAAAACATTTCACGTTGCATCATGTGCAATTTTAAAAAGTGTGTTATCAAACAATGCTGTTGGAAAGACACACTGCACACCATGGGGTGCAGTTTTAAGAAGCTGGACAAGTGGAGGAGAAACTTGTCCAGCCTAAGATAAAAGTCGTGATATGATGAAAAAAGATCCAGAAATGTCCTGACACAAGATCTGAGAGATGCATCTGGCCCTTCAGCTGATCCATCTACTGTTCTGTGAAGCCTCAATTGGAAATAATCTCAGTCAAAGGGTAGCAATCAAGAAGCCATTCTTGGAGAAGGAAGAAAGGCTGGACACAACTGGACTGAAAATCAGTGGCAACAAATTTTATTGAGTGATTAAAGATTTTTGTTTTAGTTAAAAATGTCACTAAGTCTAAAAGTGTTCAGGAGAGAGGTCCAACAGTCTACAGCCATTTATAAAACAGTCAGCGGTGTTGAGGATTTTGTCGAAACTTATGGTATTTTGAAATCATTAAAGTACCGTCACATTTTTACCCACGATGATGAAATACAAAACTGATTGGCAGCTGCTTCATTTTATGCATGTCAATGATCCCAAGCACACTGCTAATGCAGTAAGCATACCTGGATACTTTTACATCCCTGCCAGTGAAAACACTCAGAATATACTTTGCTACTTATTGTAGGGCCTACGTTACAATATAAAGCACCTTGAGGCAACTGTTGTTGTGATTTGGAGCTGTATAAATAAAATTGAATTGATTTGAATTGAATTGAGCTTTGCAAAAGCACACAATGGAGCACTATCAGCATCACCAAATATTGACTTTCAGTCTCTATTTGCACTTATACTGTATTTCCATTTATGCTTGTTGTTTCATATCGCACATATTTCCCATGTTTCTAATAAACTATAAAGAAATGAGAGGTGGCTCCAAACTTTGCACAGTGCTATATATTGTGAATAATGCATGAGAATATAAATGCAGTCTTGAAACTTCCAGTGAAGCTGAACCTATATCAGAGAGTAAAACATTGTTGTCACTCTGGTGGCTTTGTTTGAATTTAGTTTCATGATAGTGAGATTAGAACGATAGTGATATTTCCCCATGCATCCCAGGTTTTGTGATTTGTAATCTTTGATAGTGTCTCAACGCAAACTCAGTTCCTGAAATGCAAATCCACGTATAGATCAATATTTAAATAAATGATTTAGAGCATCTTAAATGCAGGGTATACAGAGGTTGTGAACCTCTTTTGAGGGCAGGAAAGCAGCACTTCAGCCCTCTGCAGGAGTAAAAGCTTGCAACACTCTGTGATTGTCACTTCATAATGCTGGCATTTCCTCTGTACCCAAGCCTGGTAAAGACTGAAGTGAACTTTGGCACACATCAGCAGCAAATTTTTAAAATCTTGATTGCACCAAAATTACACAAAGATCAAATAGCAAAAAGTCGTCCTTACATTTCGTATACAAAAGTGAAATTATTACAGCGCATGGTT